TCCACGAAGTGAAACCGGCTGATGAATCGAGCTACTCTGGTGTAGCACTGAATTCAGAATTTGCAGGACCATAAACTGGTGATAATTGTGTTGTCCCAATGTTCAGGACAAACTCTTGGTCAGTCTCTTTGACCACGTTTACATGATATTTTTAATTCTGAATTAATTACTTCAAATTAAATTATTCTCTTTTTGAGTTTACATGGAAAAAATAATTCTGAATTGAGGTTTACATGGGAAACATGTTAAATCACCTTTATTTAATTCCACTCAACGATCAGAGATCTCCAATCTTTTAGGCTTTAAAAATCCTGTATCTGATGTTTTGCACCACGTTTCACAAATAACTCAGTTTTGACTTGATCTTTGAACACTTAGTCTGAGAGTGAGTTGTTTTACTGTAGACAGGAAACAGTTTGCTTTATATCCTGTGGTCCTCAGCAGATTTCACTACAGTCTTTGTGATCAGAGATTTAGAATCTCTTCAGATTCTCCTCGTGTCTGTGGTGTGAACTTTTTGTTGTGCATTTAAAAATCGTTTAAGACCGAAAAATCCTGTAGTGTGTGTGTGGCAGCCTTAAGTCCACTACTTTATATATGTCCTGGTTGAGTCCTGGTTGAGTCCTGGTTGAGTCCTGGTTGAGTCCTGGTTGGGACCTGGTTGGGGACTTGGTTGGGACCTGGTTGAGACTTGTTTGAGACTTGGTTAAGGCCTGGTTAAGGCCTTGTTGAGACCTGAATGAGACCTAGTTAAGACCTGGTTGGGATCTGGTTGAGACCTTGATGAGTCCTTGTTGAGACCTGGTTGAGACCCTGTTGGGACCTTGTTGGGACCTTGTTGGGACCTTGTTGGGACCTTGTTGGGACCTTGTTGGGACCCGGTTGGGACCCGGTTGGGACCTGGTTGGGACCCGGTTGGGACCCGGTTGGGACCCGGTTGGGACCCGGTTGGGACCCGGTTGAGGCTGTGGTGTGAGCTTTTTGTCACACTCTTAAAAAACGTTCAAGACCGAAAAATCGTGTAGTGTGCGGCGGCCTTTAGTCCACCTCTTTAAACAGAGTCTAGTCCGGGCTAACCACTCTGCCGTCGCTCTGGACACTCTGAGGGCAGCAGATTTACTCCAGTGTCAACACATGAGCTCATCGAGTGCGTCGTTTTTCACAAAGCGCTGTTTGTTTTCACACCGTCGATCGTGAATGAGTTTGAACTAAAGCCCGATGAAATGAGCCCTGATTCTTTTGTCCGAGTGTTGAGCTCTGGACACCTGCTCCTGTCAGCACCTGTCAGCACCTGTCAGCACCTGTCAGCACCTGTCAGCACTGTCACACTACATTACACCAGAAACAAACCGCACACGGCGCTCGCTGCCGTACGACGCCGAGTTTATGTCCAAAGTCTTCTTGGTTTCCTCACAATAAGAATATTTATGGGTGCATTGTGTAACTTTTTGGTCGGGGTTTCCATGGATACATCTTTGCTTTGCCCGGAATGTTCCACAGTGTGACTTGAAACAGCTCTAATTTACATTTATTCAACTACATTTTGGTTTTACAGCTCAAAAATACCTACAAAAACAGACATTCTGACTCTGAACGGGGTCGCCTCTCCACAGATCTGACCTGTAACTTGGTCCGGTTTGGTCAGTACTAAATCAGGACTGAAACAGGACTTAGACCAAGACCGGATCAGAACTAGAACAGGACTGAAACAGGACTGAATCAGGATTAGACCAGAATTAACCCAAGATTAGACAAAAACTAAATCAACACCGAATGAGGACTAAACCAGGACTAAACCAGGACTGAAACGGGTCTAGACCAAGACCAGACCCCAGGACTAGAACAGGACTGAGCCAAGACCAGATCAGAACTGAATCAGGATTAGACCAGAATTAAACCAAGATTACACCAAAACTAAATCAGCACTGAGCTAGGACCAAAACCAGGACTAAACCAGGACTGAAACTAGACTAGACCAGGACCAGTTCCACAGTGTGACTTTAAACAGCTCTACTTTACATTTATTCAATTATGATTTGGTTTTATAACTCAAAAATACCCATAAAAAAACAACATTCTGACTGTGAGCGGGGTCGCCTCTCCACAGATCTGACCTGTAACTTGATCTGGTTTGGTCAGACCTGAATCAGGACTAAACCAGGACTGAAACGGGACTAGACCAAGACTAGACTAGTACTAGAACAGGACTGAAACAGGACTGAAACAGACCTAGACAGAATTAAACCAAAACTAAATCTGCACAGAACGAGGACTGAACCAGGACTGAACCAGGACTGAACCAGGACTGAACCAGGACTGAAACGGGACTCGACCAAGACCAGTTCCTCAGTGTGACTTTAAACAGCTCTACTTTACATTTATTCAATTACAGGTGGTTTTAAAGCTCAAACATACTGACTGTGACCTGACCTGTAACTTGGCCTGGTTTGCATGAAGATCGAAAGGTTTAATGCCACACTGCGGAACATTCCAGACAAAGCAATAACATCTAAGCAGAGAGAATCATTTGACGGACCCTCCACAACAAAAGTCATGCAATGCACCTTTAAAAATGATGTTCTTTTGTCTATTTGAAACAAATTCTGGTGAAGTATATTCTTTAATTTCCTGGTTGGACTCGGGCCGCAGGTTTGACTTACATAGTTGAGGTAATTCCAGTTCTGTTACCGAGCAACCGAGGGCCCAAACGTGTCTAAATTACACAATAGTCACGCTTAGATAAATAATAACTTGATGACAACACCTTAATTTTGTTGAATGAAGGTTTAAACGGTGGGAAAAAGTCCTTCCTTGTGAGTAAATCCTCCCTGGATTTGGATGAAGTTTTTCCGTGTTGATGATTTTTGTGCTTTTTCTTTTTAACATTTTTGACATTTGTTATCTAGTTTTTAATGTTCTTCTTTATTTGTTGGTTTGTTTTGTCTGTAGTTCCTCCTGGTTTGGTTCTTTCTCTCGTCTCTGGATGGTTTGGTTTATCTGCAGGTTTGATCAGATAAAACCTCAGACAGTTTTCCCCAAAACAAAAGCAAAAGTGAAGAAATGTAGAACAGCCTGTTTACTACGACCTGGTGTAGACCTGGTTTAGGCCTGGATTAGACCTAGTTTAGACCTGGTTTAGGTCTGGTTTAGACTTAATTTAGACCTGGTTTAGACTTAATTTAGACCTGGTTTAGACTTGGTTTAGATCTGGTTTATGCCTGTCTTAGACCTGGATTAGACCTAGTTTAGACCTGGTTTAGGTCTGGTTTAGACTTAATTTAGACCTGGTTTGGACCTGGTTTAGACTTGGTTTGGACCTAGTTTGGACCTGGTGTAGGACCTGCTTTAGACCTGCTTTAGGCCTGGTTGAGATCTGATGTAGACCTGATTTAGAGCTTGTATAGACCTAGTTTAGACCTAGTTTAGGCCTGATTTAGGCCTGGATTAGACTTGGTTTAGTCCTGGTTTGAACCTGGTTTGAACCTGCTGTAGACCTTTCTTAGACCTGGGTTGGACCTGGTTTAGACCTGGTTTAGACCTGCAGCTGTACAGGGGTTAAGACACATTTTGCCCAGACACATGGCGGTAAAGTCGTGTCCTGGTTGAGTCTTGGTTGAGTCTTGGTTGAGTCTTGGTTGAGTCTTGGCTTAGACCGGGTTCAGTCCGGGTTCAGTCCGGGTTCAGACCGGGTTTAATCCCTGTGGGGCGACTTATCTTGATTTGAAGTTGAACCTGTAGATTCTCAGTGAGGCTTTGGTTTCAGGCTGCGTGTGCATTTAAATAAATCACTGAATATTCACGTTCTGAGACGTTTTGACAAGTCAGAATTCTTTTATTTTGTTTCTGCACATTTTACACTTGGCTCAGGCTTTCTGTGGCTCTTCAGTTGTTTAAAATAATGTTAGGTCAGCTGTTTTTTGAGGTCAGAACGTCTCAAGCGCCAGAATAAACTAGTGGTGTCAAAGTATATTAATGAGAAATGGTTTATCTGTGTTCACCAACAAAGGGACGACAGAAATTTGATCCACAAAGGAAATCAGTCATGGTGGTTTGGTGCAAATAAACACAAAGTCTAATGTATTAAAAAAAAAATCTGTTCAGCCTCACATTCACTGAAAACGTGGAGGAGCAGATGACATCGCTATGAAATCTCTATTTTGAATTTCGGGCAGGAAATGGAAGCAGTTTTTAGGAGTTTTGTTACTTCAGTTTGGAAATTTGGAGGAAGCAGTGACGTGAGCTGCTGTTGCGCAAGAGGAAAGTTGTGGCAAAGGGGATGAGGCGGCAGGAATCGTGCCCACAAGGTCGGCAAAGTAGTTTTCAGGGCACTGGATGTTAAAAAAAAAAAAAAAAAAAAAATTATAGGCTACGTTTATATGATGATGGTGTGAACGGAAGACGCAAAAGTGGGGTCGCGTCTTCACTTTTTATTCCGTGTTTAGACAAGTGTTTTCGGGAGGAAATCTGTGTGCATACGGTGATGCAAAAGTGTTCAGAATCCGATTGTGTATCCATGCCAGGATTCTGTTTACTGTACGTATTTGACGTAAACATGTACACGACCTGAGCAGATCTGACCAGAGTTTTGTGTCTTGGGCAGTGTAGACGGAAACATTATGGTGGAGTGTATTCAACTTTTCCACTCTGGAGGGTGGTTTCAGATTTTTGTGTTTTTAAACCCCAAAAACGCCATCACCGTTTAAACGAAAGACACTTCTGATAAAATATGTTGTAATTTTTACTCGTAAATGTTCTCATGTAAACATGCCCATAGTTATACTGGTTAAAAGAATTTGAGGACCATATTTTTGAGCAAGTTTGAGCTAGATTTTTGTAAGGAAGGATTGTCTGCCCCAAATTGCCGCCTGGTCTCAAATAAAAGCCTGGTCTGTTCTGTGACTGAAACCAATAAACGTCCAGCTTTTATTTGGTGTTTTACAGTAATATGTGTAAATTTAAGTCCACCTCGTGTCTAACTCCCGTTTTTTCTGATGTTCCAGACTCGTTTGGATCTGGATAAATACCTGGCTGCGGCCGCTCCGCTCCTGAACCTGGAGCCCGACACCGGTGACAGGAAGTACAGACGGGAGAGTGCTTCTGTGGTGGACGAGTATTTCAACGAGGACAAGACAGCCACTCCGTACAGCGTCAACATCAACGTGATCCTACCCAGCACCACGCACCTGCGCACCGGACTCTACCGCCACAACAAGACCATCAAGACCGAGCCGGGCCTCGAGGTGCCCTGCTCCACCACCGCCCAGAGCCAGAACCAGAACCAGAACCAAAACCAGAGCCAGAGCGGTCAGGCCCTGCCGGACTTCACCTCCGTCTTCAACGTCAACAACGTGTTCGTGAAACCAGACCTGAGCCCGAACGGGAACACCCCGAGTCAGAGTCTAGAGACAGAGCTCCAGATCGGACCTCCACCTCCACAGCCACAGGTGAGAGTCCGGGTTTAGTCCGGGTTTAGTCCGGGTTTAGTCCGGGTTTAGTCCGGGTTTAGTCCGGGTTTAGTCCGGGTTTAGTCCTGGTTTAGACCTGGTTTAGACCTGGTTTAGTCCTGTGTTAGTTCTGAATAAGTGCAGTTCAGATGGACAAATCCTGTCTTATTTTTGTGTTTTGGTGAGCTTTAAATCATGTTATAATGTTGTTACTTCTTCAAAAACAGACTTGGAGTTGTGCTTTGTTTCATTCACACATATTTGAAATATCCTTTATTATTCGTCCATTTACATCTCTAAAGCTCAAAATGCTCTTCCACCTTGTGATGTCATGAAGCGGTAGTTTAAAAGTTAAGTTTTATAATAACACTTTATAATAAGGTCCCATAATGAACAGCAAACTAATCATCACCTCACTCTTTGTTAATATTTTTTAATTGTTACTAAAATATCTATTTGACACAAGTTAATCTTTTTTAATCATTAACTAAACATTAGTTAGACATTAGTTAAACATTAGTTTCCATGAAAGCTGTGCATGTTTTGACAAATAGAAAACAATTTATTAACTAATATCATATTAATATTTGTTAATAGTGAACTGTCTAGTTAAATGTCTTTATGGCACTAGTAATAGTTATTTTTACGTAATGTTAAATGTTTATTTACAAACTATATGTTAATATAAAAGTTAATAACACATTATTATTTAACTGTTATTAAACTGTGATTCTGCTTTTTTTCTCAATATGAACCACTCCTCATAGAATCCTAAAGTTGTTAAGCTTAATGAATATATTGGTAATATAGAACTATTAAGTGTGGGGAGCATTATAATAGAGTTGGAACAGTAATTATTAACTATTTTACACTGGGTCTTTCACAGTTATTACAGAAAGACGTTCAGTTAACTATTAACAAATATGAATACGATCTTCATTAACAGTAACTGTTAATAATGCAAACAACTCATGTTTAGTTAATGATGAAAGAAATATTAACTTGTACCAAACTGATATTTTAGTAACAATTAACAAATATTAACAAAGCATTAGGTAATTACCAGTTTATTATGGCACCTTTATTATAAAGTGTTACCAGTTTTACTTTTTCTTCATAATTCAAGGCTGAAATTATCCAAATGATTCTTGTGGAAGTGTGTGGAGAACACAGTTCCTGTATTATCTCATGACATCACGAGGTGGAACAGAGTGTTTTCAGTTTCTGTTCAAACGTGTGAATGAAATAAAACACAACTCCAGGTTAGAGTCTGGACATGACACAAAACAGTGCGGTGCGGGACACATATTGAAAGCTCAGTGCGGGCGCGGGATGATAAACTACAATCTCACAAACTAAATATGAGTGTAAAATAAAATATGCAAATGATTCATGTTTGCCTGTTATACAAACATTTTAAGCAGCCTAAACTCATGGACGTGGTTTAATCTCGTGCACATTTTAGACAATTCCTTTTCTCTTCTCCGTGTTTGAGAAAGCGAACGTCCACATGTTACAGCATTTGCGAGCGGGAGCGGGACAAAATATCACAATAACCAAAATATCGTCATATCGTATCATCAAAGTTCTCACAATAAAATTGTGGACTATCACAATATATCGAATTACAAGTCTCTTTGCTTAAATGAAGAGTTATGATGCAGCAATAACAAAAAAAAGATAGAGAGAACTACATAGACCATGATCCTTTGCTCCATTTCAGTGCAGACGACAAGAAGAAATAACAGTTCTAACACTTTTAAGTCTTAGTTCTTTGGATTAAGTCTTGTCAAGGTGTTTTAAGTGTTTTTTTGGACTCAAAATTCTGTCCCGCGCAGACCTCTAATTTGAATATTGTTACATAACATTAACAAACACTTTTGTGTCTGTATTAAATGTTTAAAAACTTGAAATAATTCTTATCCTGGGCACTCCAGTCTCATACGCTGGTTGTTTCTTCTTGTAAATTTTATTGTTTCTTCAATGTGCCACATTATTTATTCATATTTGATTTTGACGACAGGTTTACCATCTGCCAATTAGCAACTCTGACCTCTCCATGACCCTGAGCACCAGCCAATCGGCCGTGAGCGGGGGCCGGACCATGCTCAACCTGGGCGCCGTCTCTTTAACGGGCACCAACGGCGGCTACATGCTGACGGAGCCCCTCGCGCAGCACCACGCCTTCTACGCCTCCGCCGCGCAGCCCCACGGCGCCCACCCCGCGCCGACGGGACCCCACAGCCTGCCCCCCTCGCCCCCCAACTCGCAGCCCGGCAGCCCCGACACGCACGCCGACCTGCTGTCCCTCGGCTCCCATCCGGCGCCGCCCCCGTACCAGCACCGGGCGCATCACCACCACCACCAACAGCAGCAGCAGCACCAGCAGCAAGCGACGGCGACCACCCCGCAAATACTGACGCCCAAAATCACAGGACTGTCCCCCCACGCGCTGCTCATGACCCACGGGCAGGGCGTCCTCACGGGGCCCAAGTACAACCGCCGGAACAACCCCGAGCTGGAGAAGAGGCGGATCCACTTCTGCGATTACCCAGGTCTGCGCCCAAATAAATAAAACTGAAAATATTTAGACTTAGACGAACTTTACTGATCCACGAGGGGCAATTATTTGGACACAGTGGCTCAAACGTCATGATCTTTTATAATAACAAAGAGAAAAAATATAAACCGTAAAAATAAAATCGCAAAAAGAGCAAGAAACAAGTGTATTATCTGAATGTTTTCTGTTACTTCAGGTTGAGTTGTTGCACAGTTGTAGGGAGTATTATCTGTTACATAAGGGTGAGTTGTTGTACAGTTGTAGGGAGTATTATCTGTTACATAAGGGTGAGTTGTTGCACAGTTGTAGGGAGTATTATCTGTTACATAAGGTGAGTTGTTGTACAGTTGTAGGGAGTATTATCTGTTACATAAGGGTGAGTTGTTGTACAGTTGTAGGGAGTATTATCTGTTACATAAGGGTGAGATGTTGTACAGTTGTAGGGAGTATTATATGTTACATAAAAGTGAGTTGTTGTACAGTTGTAGGGAGTATTATCAGGGAAAGAAGATGCCTGATTTGTCTGTTCTTAATGTTCATATCTTGATTTACGGACAAAATGTCAAAGTAAATCTGAACATTTTGAGCCCAAAATCATGAACCTGAAAACAATAGAAAGTGAACTGGAGCCAGAGTCCATGGAGCCAGAAATGTGTCCATGATCTTTTTATTTATACATTATTTATCTAGTTAAAGATGCTCTGTGTGTCTGTCACCGGAATGGTTTAAAACCTGATTTACATGATGTTTTTTAAATTCTGAATTAATTGTTTTAAATTAAAGAGTTCAGAATTTAAATATTCTCCTTGGAGTTTACATGGAAAACTCGTTAAATCGTCTTTATTTAAGTTCACTCAGCGTCTGGGGGTGGGGAAGGTTCTGATTGGACAGAGACACCAACATATTTGGTGGATCCGGATCGTCCAGATCACATCAGAACGACGACACAACGAGCATGTGCTCATCGACCGGAATTATTTTTAAGAAGAATAAACATTTACATGATCGAGGAATAAATTAATTCGGCTTTAAAATAATATATATATATTATATAATATATATATCGGAATAAACCACCCACTTACTTCAGAATTAAGCTGAATTCTGAACAATCTTTTTCTTTAGGAATTAAGTGTTTACATGGTCTTTTTAAAGCAGAATTCATTTTTAGTCAGAATTAAAGCTCTCATGTAAACGTGGCAAACAGCCCCAGGTCAGATCTGTGGAGAGGTGACCCCACTCATCAGAGGTGTGGACTTGCAAGTCGTGACTTGGACTCGAGTCAGACTTGAGTCACTATTTTTAGGACTTGAGACGTGACTTGGTAAAATGGACAAAGACTTGGGACTCGACTTGGACTTGAAGGTCAATGACTTGGGACTTGACTCAGACTTAAGAAGACTCGAGATGCACTTTTAAAATCTGAATTCTTTCTGTTCTGACCATAATAATTCACACTAAGATCTTGTCAAGACATTTAAAAAGAAAATATTTGCATTTTTTAAGAACAATTTAGTTAAAATTAAAATTAATATAAATTGCAAAAATCTAAGCTATATTTGGGATTTTGGTTTAAAGACTTGAAATGACTTAAAGCTCAAAGCAGACGATTTGGACTTGATTTGGACTTATGGGCCAGTGACTCGAGACTTGATTTGAACGCCTGTATTTGACTTGGGACTTGACTCGGACTTGAGGTCAAAGACTTGGGACTTACTTGAGACTTGCAAAACGATGACTTGGTCCCGCCTCTGCATGTTTTGCCGGGTATTTTTCAGCAACAAAAACTTAACAGGTGTTGCGTGTTTAATGCCGTACTGTGGAATATTTAAGTCAAAGCAACAACATCTCCATGAAGCAAGTAGCAAAACTGTCTGTTTCAAACATTTGAAAACTTTTAGGACTTTTTTTTGTTGGCATTTTGGCTTGTAAAGGATGTCCTGTTAAACTGCAGTGGATATTTTACCCATGATATTTGATCCATTTGATGCTTTAAGCTTCAGGCCCAGAATGTTGTTGCCAGGTTTAGTTCATTAATCCGTTAGTTCGTTAGTTTACTGAAACAGGGACAGTCCACAATGTACCTTAACCCTAACATGAGAGATGCTTTGTACCTGACTGCAGCACCAGGGTTCATTTCTGTATTTGTGGATCAGGAGTCATCGCCAAACTGAATAAGGAAACCATATCAAACCATTTTTCTAAATTCGTTTTTTGTTTTCGTAGGTTGCACCAAAGTTTACACAAAGAGCTCCCACCTGAAGGCTCACCAGCGGACACACACAGGTAACACACACACTCTGCTGTTTAAACCTCTGAGAAAACTAAACAAACTGCATTAAGAACATCCCCATTTTCCCGGGACAGTCCCAGTTTTGAGCCTGTGTCCCTTGTCCCAGCAGATTTACACGAAACCACTGATTTGTCCCAGTTTTATACAAGAAATGTCCCCGGTGTTTCTATTTTTGACCAATGTGATCCCTTCCAACCGTAAAGAGAGACATACATTGTTATTTGTTAAGGTAAAATTCTAGCCTGATTCATCTGCTGGTTTCGCTTTGTGGAAACTGTCTGATTTTGCAGCATTAGGATTCATTCGCTCGACTTTTTTAATTTAACCAATCGCTGCTGTTTGGTCATGACGTATGTAATGCGCCAAATCCCGTAGGAAGAAGGACAACAACATCTTTCCCGTTGATAAAATTCACCAAATATTCTCTTTATTTATTCTTTAAATCCTCGATCTCTGGAATCGTTGCCAACACAGAATGTCTGTCTTCGTCTTCATCCATCTCGACGCTTTGTTTACTGTTGTGCTGTTCCACAAAAGGGACACAGACAGACGCCACGAGTTTGACATCATGACTTCACAGTTCTTGGCTGATCGGTTGGTGCGCCGTCTACAACTTCCAGGGTTCTTGTAAATTGTCTAGTGTATTCTGATTCCTGACCTAGTCGCTGGAGAGAAATGAAATTGAGCGGACGTAAAATACAGAAATGCTGCTCAAAAACGACCAAAACAAAGAAAATGTGACTACACTGACTCAAGTGTTCGTCATGAATGGGCTGAACACCGAACAGTTTTTCTTAATTACGCACTCGTTTCATAATTTTATGGTCACCCTACGCTTTTGTGCAGTGACGATCCCAGTAAACGGTGGGGGTGTAACTGGTCGAAATGCTGAACAGTGATTAAAAACAAAACTGAGTCACTGAGAGAAACTCTTTATGTAACTTGCAATGACTATTTGCTCCTTAATTGAGAAAATTACTGGGAAAATAGTTTTTAATGGTTGCTCTGAGCCTGTTGGTGCGACCTCGTTTTTTTGCTCCTTATGTTTTGTTTTTGTTTTTAGCATCTGTAGAAACTTCTGTTGATGTTCTGATCTGTGTTTTGATATTTCTTCATCAAAAACGCACAAATCCTGCATATTTAGGTTCTTCTCTCAAATCGAAAACACTCTGTTCCACCTTGTGATGTCATGTGGTGATACAGGACACCTTCACTAGGATCATTTGGATAATTTGAGCCCTGGAGTTGCCAATCTTTAAGGGAACTAAAGGGTAAAAGGAGATGTTCACTTGAAAACTGAAAAAACGCTTCATGGAACAGAGCATTTTGAGCTTTGGAGATGTACTCAGACTAATGTAACTCACATTGGCCACGTTTACATGATGTTTTTATAATTCCGAATTAATTGTTCTGAATTAAAATATTCTTTTCGAATTGAGGTTTACGTGGAAAACTCGTTAAATCGTCTTTATTTAGTCTGAGTCTGAGCGTCTGGAGGTGGGGAAGGTTCTAATTGGACAGAGACACAAACATATTTATGTCTTTAGGAAGAAAGCAAACACTTCAGCTGCTGCCGGCTTTTGTCATCTCGGTTTCTCGTTACTTCATGGACACAAACACGATCCGAACGTTTCCCGCAATGGTTCCGATGATAATTGCACAGCGGCTGGAGAAATGTCTCCTCACACTTTCCATCTGTCGGCTGAGGAGGAGAAGAGAGGAAGAAGACAAAGTGAGTGTGAGGCTGCTCTACCTCAGCCCACTCCCACATCCTGCTCACAAATCCAAAGAGACGTGGAGGAAAGTCCGAAGACACGACTGGTGGAGCCGGATCAAAGGACGACACAACGAACATGAACTCAACGACTGGAATTATTTTTAAGAAGAATAAACGTTTACATGATCGAAGAATAATTTGGCTTTGAAAATCGTAATAAATCACCCACTTACTTCGGGATTAAGTTTAATTCCGAATGATCGTTTTTATCAGGAATTAAGTGTTTACATGGTCTTTTTACAGCGGAATTAATTTTTATTCAGAATTAAATTAAAGCAAATGAAACAAAACACAACTCCAGGTGTGTTTTTGAGGAGGAAACAGCATTAGGACACGATTTAAAACTCACAGGAGTCAATTTTCCGTATTTTAAAGGCTCATATTGCGCTATTTTTTAGACGTAGACAGACTAATAATAAAGGAGTTGTGAAACAAAACACAACTCCAGGTCTGTTTTTGTCGACGTAACAACATTATAACACGACTTAACGCTCAAAAGAATCAGGTTTGCATAATCTACGACCTTTAATATCACGGTATTTGTTTTGTTTATTGTTGGGCGATTGGAAACTGAAAATAGGCCTTGCAGAATCAAGTGTAAAATTCTCGTTATTGCATCACGTGTTTTCCAGTCGTACAAAAACAACTCTTTCATGGTATTATCTGAGCATTTTCTCTTTATCCAGAATCTATTCTTGTCCCTTGTCAGTTTGGCTACACCCAGAGCTATGTAAAGAGAATAAAATGTACTATGAAAATAAACAGTCGGGACGTGCTGTTACCTGTCGCCCGTTTTTACCCCAAGAGAACGCCAAACAAAAGCGTGAAGAAGAGGGAGGGGGCGGGGCCGGTGTCCGCACAAGAAAAGAATGGAAAAGCCGCTGTTAAAACTCAGGGCGAACCAGTTCCTCCGGCTCCGAGCGGCTGTTCCGGCGGAGGGAGGGCGGACGCGGCGCGGCGGGGGGTGACGGGAAAAGCCCGGTTTCGACGGTTCACTTCTGTAATTCGAGACGGGGCCGGAGTCCCAAGAGAATGCAGATTTGCTCATTTGTTTGAAGGCGCAGGAACACTGCAAAAAAAAAAAAATATAATAACAATAGAGCTGGAGTTGAAATGGAGTCGTGGAGGTTAAAGGGCCAAGGTTACGCAATTTTCTGATCTGTGTGTGTCTGTAATGTCGTTTCCTCATCACAAACAGACCTGGGGTTGTGTTTCTTTTGTTTTATTCGCTCACGTTTAACTCACAAACCTGCAGATTTGGGGTCAGTCTTATCATCAGAAGAGCCTCTAGTCAGAAAACCCATGTTCAGGTCGTGTTACAAATTGTTACAAATGAAATTGTATTTCAAGTTTTAAATATTTAAAAAAGTAAATATTAAAAGTAATAAATATATTAAACCCTTAAAATACAGCAAAAATGTTTGAGGAAATAATGATTTGGGTGGAAATGTCTGTCTTAAGTGGAACAGGGTTAATAATTGTCTGATTTTCAGGCAACAACTTGCAAAATGTTCAATAATTCGAGCTCTACAACCTTCATTTCAATTTAATTTTAAATCTTTTTCTTTTAATGTAGCATTGGTGGGTTTGTAAACCAACAAATGAAGTAATACTGGCCTTAGCTAATGCTGTTATGTATGATTATGTGTTTTCCTGTCAATATCTCTAAAAATGTTGATGTTGCAGCCATTTTTAATTGGTAAACATCCAAAAGTTTACTAATTCTTCCCTGATATCCAGGGATTATTCCCTGTTGCTTTCATCAAATTTACATTCAGTTGTTCAAGAGAAATGTTGCTGACAAACCAGAAGAAGAGGTCATGATTTTCTGACTAGTGGGTCTTCTGACTACAGGGTCTTCTGACTTGTGGCCTTTCTGACTAGGGGCCTTCTGATGATAAGGGTGTAGCTGCAGATTTAGGTTTTTGTCTCAAACTGAAAACACTCTTAGTCACTTAGCACACTTCTAGTGAAAATGTTTGGAGTTTCACGACCTGTTTACACGAGAACACTTGAGGGTAAAAACGACAAAATATTTTTCCAGAAGTGCCTTTTGTTTAGACGGTGGCGGCGTTTTTGGAGCTTAGAAATTCAAAAATCTGAAACCTCCGTCCAGAGTGGAAAAGTTAAATACACTCCACCATAGTGTTTCTGTCTACACTGCCCAAGACACAAAACTCTGGTCAGATCTGCTCAGGTCACATACATGTTTACGTCACATACATACAGTACACAGAAACAAACATGGGATCATTTCCAGCTCTAATAAACTTACAGGAGGCTCCCAACAAATGTGGAGAATCTGCAGAGACACTATTAGTGAACAGAGAAGGATCTGTAATCACCTCTGTCAAATTCTGGAGGCACCAGGTCATCGCAGTCGAGTCAGACGGATCTGGACGAGACCTGGAGAACCAGTCAACGGTGGGACGACTTTGTGGAAGGAGGAGCTGATGAAAATGTGCGACGTGAAAACTTCTGTGTCTCCAAAGACGCTCTTGTTGCTTTAAAGTACAAACAAGCACAATCGAATTCTACACACTTTTGCGTCAGCGTGTGCAGCAGATTTCCTCCTGAAAACACTCGTCTGAACGCAGAATAAAAAGTGAAGACGCGACACAGCTTTTGCGTCTTCTGTGCACACGTCATCATATAAACGTAGTCTAAACAACGCAGTGGAGCACATCACATCTCGTGATCTTGTCGGTTGAAGATTTGGTGTTGGGGCAGATTTATGAAGCTGGTGTAGAAAAAGACACACATTTACACATTTTGTCGCAGAAAATCGTTAACCAGAAGTGACGTTTACCTACATCGCAACACTTCCGGCCGTTGTGAAAAAGGTCTGTTGGGAGTAATAAAACTCCAAAACTCCAAATTTTAAATAAAAATGATTATCTGATGCTGAGCGTTACTTGTGGAGGAGATGTCATGTACTTGCTTTGTCTTGAATGTTCCACAATAGGGCATTAAACACGTCCATCATGCATGTGTTCAGTTACAGATGTTTAAATCTGCAAAACATTGTCTCAAAACGTGACTGAGTAGGGTCGCCTCTCCACAGATCTGACCTGTAACTTGACCTGGAATCTTTACAAGCGTGTTCAACTTTTCCACTCTGGAGGCTGGTTTCAGATTTTTGCGTTTTTAAGCCCCAAAACGCCGTCACCGTCTAAACAAAAGACACTTCTGATCAAATAATTAGTCGTTTTTACC